TTGTTAGGTTTGTTGATATCACTAATGATTTCTTAAGCCAACAAAAATGTTTTCCTAGATAGATCTTCCTTTTATGAAACCACTTTGGTTCTTGCAGATGATCCTAGGAAAGATACTAGAAAGTTTGTTGCTAAGGATTTTGGAAATAATTTTAGAAAACACGTTACAAAGGCTAATGGGTCTAAGATCTGAAAATCTTTAGGGATGATCAATCTTGGGAATCATAACAATGCAGGTGTGGGTATAAAACTTGGTGAGGGTGACTCCTTTAAAAAAAGAATTTACAGCATTATGAACATCGAATGAAATAATACTCCAACACTTATGGTAGAACATTCCACTTAATCCATCAGGCCCAGGCGAGCTGTTGGGATCAATAGAGAAAACAGTATCTGTCACTTCCTTGAGCTCTGGGATGGCATTAATCATAAGGTTATCTTCCTCTGTGATGCAACTATCAACACAATCTAGGGCACTGTAATCAGTATTGGTAGAATCTTGAGCAAACAGGTTCCGATAGAAATTCACCGCTCCATTCGCTATAGCATCAGTGTCTTCCAGCCAGTTATCATTATCATCTTGGATTCTTCTGATATTCAACTTCCTTCTTTTATCTTTAATGGTAGCATGCAAATAGGTTGTGCTAGCATCTCCTTCATTGAACCATTTAACTCTAGCTTTTAGGCATGGAATGGAATCTTGAATTTTAAAATATCTGGTAAAAATAGCTTTATGCTTGGAGAGTTTGTTGACACCCAATTTTGGACCTCCACAATATAAATTAATCACCGAGCTTCTTCAATTTCGAACGATTTGAAATAATTACTTTTATAAAATTCACAAAGTTTTCAAGTTATTTTAAGTAGTTTTATCATGTCTTATAAATTTTGAATAATATATATGTTTTATATAATTAGTATATTTCTTAAATATTCGAAAATCGTCTCAAAAAGATTTTATTTTGATTAAATCTTCAATTGAATCAACTGGGTTTAAAGTGTATTCTTAATTTGGAGTTATTTAGTTTGTTAGCTTAATTATTTTGGAAGCTTGTTTTATTAATTTACTATAACTTACGTTGTGGTTATAATTTTAAATTACTTAGTCTATAATTAAGTTAGCTATTTTATTTCGTTAAGATTAAAAAGCTCATAAATTAATTTTATTAATTCGTCATATTTGAAGTTTAGCCGAATCTCCTAAAAATAATTCTTTGGGTTACCTCTTTAATTTGTTGGCTAAATTGTCAATTAATTTTATTACAATTTTGGCCAAAATCTAACATCTTATTGACAACCCAAAAGACCCAGCCCACTTCCCACAAAAATCAGCCCAATACAAAAAAAAAATTTAAGCAATGCAATTCCAAAAAGAAACCCATCAATACCTACATACAACGATTACAACAGCACCAACCGACCCACCTCTACGCGCCTCACATTTTTTTTCCCTTCTTCTCGCGTGAATGCACAGAAGAAACCCAACCAGAATCGCATGCCCAGCAAGATGATTGTCGTCTTGTTCCTTTGTCTCGACAAATAGTACGCTCATTCAAATTTTGAGCAGAGCAGGCAGCCACAGATTTTGTCCTGGCATTGAGAGATCGCTCCACGTCGCACCTCAAGGACGGGAGATCGATCCGAGGCGTCCGTCTACCTTTCCTCTTTCGGAATAGGACGAATTTTCAGAGAAAAAGATGTATCTCCTTAATGGTGAAAGCTTTTTTTTAGTTTGAATTCGAATTGGAAATTAAAAAATTTAATCCGGTTTCCCCCCTTTTCAATTCCTATTTGACCCTCTATATAAACCCATCTCTTTTACTGTTTGGGGGGATTTTTTTTCTGATATATTTTCCATAACCTGAGACAAATGATTTTAACCACAAAAATACATTAAACAATACTTAAAAGGGTGAAAAATAAATAAATAAATTGGTAGTCTTGTTCTCTTTTAAGTTTCATTGCCGAACCTCTGTTTATGGAGTCAAAATCAGACAAGTGGTGGAGTTTGCTTCATCGTTAAGCTTGTTGTCCCGGAAGCTGCTCCGAAAAAGGTAAATCTCCTCTTGATTTTAATTTCTTGTTAGTTAATGTTGTGTTTATGCTTGTCAGTTAATGTTGTGTCTATGAATAGAATGAAATTTTTCAATCTTCTCTTATGAATTTTCTATCGATTTTATCCCTTCCAAATGCCTCTGTTTGTCTCACCTGTTATTCTTCTTGTTGACGTTGGATAATAGGCGTTCTTGGTCCAAGTTTGCGTGTTTATTTTATTCGCGTATGAAATGTGTTTCCTAAAGGTTTACTATTTGGACTTTATTGTTGGAGTCGTAGCCTCAAGATTCATGTTCAAGCAGCCTATTGTTGCTAATGTAGCTCTAGTATGCTCAATATCTTGTCATTTTGGTTCTCGAATGTGGGATATGGCTCCTGTAATCAATTTATCTGTAGTGTTTACTTCATAATTTTGTTAGCCTCTTACATAATTTAGGCGATTCGATACGATACACCGTACTACTTTTCTGTTGTATTTGATAGGATTCGAGCAATTATTTTAGAAAGTTGAGTTTTCATACTGTTAGTTGTATGAAAGTTTGCCAGGAAGAATTTGAAAGTTATTATGTCATTGTTTAAACCTTGAAATTATTTATCTTGGTCTCTCTTGATTATGTAATATCTCTTAGAGAACCTTGTAAACTCAAATATCCATACAAATTGGTTGAATTCACTAGAGCAAATTAAATGATTTAACACTAAGCAATTTGTACTATTTTTCACGCAAGTGATTGTATGATACCATGTAGTAACTCGTGAGATTTTATAATATGCTTACTATGATCATTCTCTAGGCACATTAGTAGAGCATCTTCTTCTTCGTCTTTTTTTTAATTTTATTGTTATTATTATTTTTTCTTTTTTTTCTTTTTTTTGCAAGTTTCAAGTTGACTACTTGGGTTGATATCATGTGTACTATAATATTTGCGCCAATCTTGTTCAAACTCCTAATTAGCATGTGTTGATATGAGTATTAAAAGCATGTGTCAGTAAATTGTTTGCCTGGAATTTGGAAGTTTTTGAGCATACCATTGGTTAAAGTGAGTAGATATAGGTGTTATTTATCTATTGTTCACTCTATGTTTGTTTATTTTTTTTTATTTTTTTGATTGATCTTCCTCACCCATGTGTTTGCGATTCATGCACTGTTCTCTACCGTTCGAATACTTTATTATGCAATTTTGAGTTAATATTAATTCGTTACTCCTTTCTTTGTATGTATTGGATTCATTCGTGGACTCCTTTTCCTTGCATTTCGAAATGGGCCACGGAGGCCCAAGTTCATTCTCCTTCTCGAGTCAACCCTCAATCACCAACATTGGAGCAAACAAACAGCTCCAATTGGAAGCGAAAGGGGGTGTATACGCGTTGCATACAGTATGATACAACGGAAAGAGGGTCCAAAAAAAAAATGCCCTAAATTTTCAGCTTTGTATTTTGTTACTTTGGGCCTAAGTCCTTGTCACTTTCATTATTATTTTGTTAGAGTTTAGGACAGGTGGAAGAATATTGGGCCTAAGGCCCAAAAGAAATATCTTATATATATTAGACTAGGATAGGTGCAGCTGATTTAAATGGGCCAAAAGCTCAAAACGAGATTAGATCCAAGTACTGGCCCAGGCGGACAGAAACCAGACTTGGGCCCAAATCTCCCTCTCTCCTTATTATATATCTCGTGTTAATTTTATTGTTAGTACATGCTTATTTGCTAATTAATTTTAAGGTTCTTAACTCATAATTCCCCAAAGGACACCCATTTTGAGTTAGCTAACTTATAATACTTTGTCTTAAAATAACTAAGTATACTTATCCTTTTTCCAAATTAATTTCTAAAAAATTTAGAAGCTTTTTCTCTACTTGGACATTTTAGATAATATATTCCCTTTTCCTCTTTAAATGATTTTAGGTTATAAAATTTGTTCATTCGGTAACTAGTCAAGCATGCCTATTGTTAGCCAAATAAATTAATTGTCGGATAACCGCATTAGCGGATATTCTAGGTGCTTTAAAAACCTTCCTAGAATATTAATAAGAACCCTGAACCCTTCTTTTTAAGTTTTCATTAGATTCTTGTTTTAGTCTTTTGAAAACAATAGTTTTCTTGATTTTTCTCAAAAATTAAGTGGCGACTCTAAACCAGTCTAAGTTCTATTTTTAAATAAAACAGAGTTCACATCTGTTCTTAAGAGAATTTTAAAATATCTGGTAAAAATAGCTTTATGAGGTTCTTAAACAATTCAATCTCAACTTTTTGTGTCATTTGGAAATTGGGATAAGACTCCTGACAGAGAATTCATGAACCAACTATGTACAGTACTCTGTACCAAAGGCGACTAGTTTGAATTTGAGACCTCTTATTAAGGATGAAATAGTACTTATCTTTTCACCACAATCTTTGTTGGTGTGTGCTTGTTATTAATCGTTATCTTGGTAGTATAAAGATATTCAGCGGCGGCGAAGTCAACATTTGAAGTTTATGAATTTAGAATTTTAATATATTTTCATTATTAGATTCTTAGTTAATAATTTTGTATATTCAATAAATTTCTTAAACAAATATAAAATTTTAACTAAAGTTCGATCAAACACTTAATTCATAAACGCAAAGGGTTAGGTTCACCAATATTTTTTAAAAGCAGTACAGTTTGGCTAAAAAATGATATGCAACTAATATATGAATTTAACATGTCATCAAGGGACCAAGTGTTTTTGCTTAATTAAGACTAAACTAGAAAGATAAACTCTAGAATTACGTCATTGTAAACAAAAAATATAAGCAATTACTTATCATTTTTCTACCAATTATACCATTGCAAATGTTATGACCTAATAACACATGTTACTTCTTTGTCATTTATATTTTTTATTTATAAAAACACAATAATGCAAGTTCTTAATTACCTAGTATTCTTGATCCGTTTTAATTTATTTATCTTATTTTTATTTTTAATTCATTTCATAGAAGAATCGTTCCTTTTCTGACAACTTATTCTTATTTCTAACTTCCTACATGAAAATTTTAAAATCACAAGATCAAATTGCATTGTATATTCTACATATATATCTTTAGTTTTTTTTTATTTTTTAAATTTTATGTTAATAAAAACAGATAAATAAATTAAAATGAATGTAATGAAGTGTTTGATTTGTTGTGCTGCAAAATGGAGTCAATTTATAACTTTCATGTATCAGATGCAAAGTCAAAATTTAAAGTTTATAGATTTAGAATTTTAATTTTTTAAAGTTAGTGATATCTAAATAGTTCTCATCTGTTCCACTTGAATTCATTTATTTGATTTTTAAAATGTGTTTGTGATGCAAATAATTCCAATTAACTAAGTCATTATTCTTATACAAAAGACTAATGTTTAAATGGTTACGGTGCTGTTAAATCACTTTGTAATAAAAAGTTGCAAATATTCTGTCTAAATGAAGTTGCAATGCATGTTCTTATGGGTGGCAAATTTTGCCCATATATAATGACTTGGATCACTTATATTTTAATTGGTTAAATATGAGTTTCAAGCTATTTTAAGAGTCTCTACTAATATGGTCAAAATGCGTTAAATATGGATATCCATATTGACCCATAATAGATCACTTAGTTTTCACTCCACTCAAAATTCTTAATAATGCTAAAAAATAAAAAAATTAATATTAATTTTCAAACTTAATTGAAAAAATAGATTATTTTTTTTGTTTTTGGAAAACAAAAAAAATTTAAGGGTAGGTTGGTGGAAAGGGGAGGCGCCCTGGGTGGGGGGTGCTCGGGGGAGGGGGTAAATTTTTATTTTTTTTGTTTTTGGAAAACAAAAAAAAATTTAGGGGTCGGTTGGT